TTTCCTAGTTGTGATGTGAATTAAATTAGTAATTATTCTTATAGTATATGAGGCTGCTAGAGGCAGAGTGGCCTAATGACCATCGCGCAGAGGAAAATAAAAATGCCCAATTAACTTAGGCGGAAATGAATTTGTACAATTATTTGTATAAAAATTCAGTTAACAATTTTCGGTCACTCGTAGATTAACCATTTGAGGCTAGGATACTCTGCCTCTAGCTGCCTCATATTACATATAATGCATAGATAAAAAAATATATTTATCACATCTGGTAAAAACTAATGTATACTTACTATAAATATATTATTTTGTAGTTTTAGTTACGTTACATAAGATTTTAAGCTAGAAAAAGGTCATTATCGTTTATAGATCAAATTTTACGGCTTACGCAATAAATATTTTTACCGTGACTGGGTAGACTGCAGTATTAAAACTTAGTAAGAAATCGTCTATATAAAAAAACAATATTTTCAAATTTCAAAGTCAAAATATGTGGACTTATTTTAATGTTATATGGTTATATAATACCCTAGTATTTCACCTTCTATCACGTTTGTCTGTCTTTTTCTGTCATAAAAATTTAAATAAATTGCCGGCGAGTGTAGTATTGTCAAGTGCGCTGTTAATGTGATACCGAAAGCTAATTGGATTAAGATTGGAAAATGGGGTAAGGCCTCTGTAGAGTTTACTATTTGTATTATAAGATTGTTTTTATATTTTACACATTATTATACATATATAGAGATTTAACCTGCAGTACAGTAAGGCCTCGTATCTCCCTGTGGGGTATGGGGCATATTTTTGAGAGGTCTCATTTTAGGGATAATAATATATACTTGCATCGTTAGAACTAATTGGCCACGTATCTGTACGATATAATATGGAACTGAATAATTCTTCTATTGTACTAGCAGTGCCAGCGAATTCGTCCGCATAGAATAGTTAATTTGGGCATTATAATTTGTTTTTGGAATCCTCCTCATCTTTATAGAATATAGCTGTTACCCACGACGGCCGCGTCCCGTCTTTCTTGCAAGGTAATTTGAAATGTGAGACATATATTGCGGTAGACATTTTTTTAGATCGTTTAAAGGGGATTATTCATTATATTTATATACACACATTTATTTTCGGGAAATAGAAATTCTTAAAGATTTCCCATTTTTTTCCACATTTTCGTCTGTTTATTCGCCCCTATTGTTCAAAATGTCGATAGTACATCCTCTAACCAACACAAAACATTTTTTTCTTTTCAAATCAGTAGTTTCTGAGATTAGCACAATCAAACAAACTAACCAACTCTTCCGCTTTATCATAATATAAGAGCAGATGAAAAATATAATCTGATGACAAAATAAAATATAGGCCGTTTTTATTTTACAGTAACAGTGTATAAACGATAAAATCTAGTCCTTATTAATAAGTTAGGAGATTCTAGCAAACGTCAATGCGTATTAAACTGACCGTAAAATGACTATAGAGTCAGCAATTTTCATTGCAACACAGTCCACAATAAATTAATCTTTTTGTTCCATTGATAGTACCCATGTGTGACAATCTAACCAGCTCAAATTGGACTAAAAATTTCTCCAGTTTATACAAATTTAACTCCTATTTGATCTGTATTTACGAACTAGAATCCCGTGCGGTGTGGTAATGTTAAGCTTTTCAAACATTAGGTTTTACAGTACTCGAGACAGTAGGCTGCGGTCTAGGAATTAATGTGCCGTATCTAAAGCGTAGCACGCATCGAGGACGCCTTTTATAGACATGTCTGGAGACAGACTCTTTGTATTTTTCCTAGAGAATAGCAGATAAAGGAAATCTTTGCTTAGCTTTGGTCCATAGTACAATGCTTAATAGAAGAATATTATTCAGTAGAAAATATAACATAAGATAGATTTCTTTAATTGCTTTTTTTATCTTCAAATATAGAAACAGTTATCGTTTTAACAGTAATGCGTATCATATTAGTTTTACTTATATTTGATTTATTTTAACGAGGTCTCGACGTTTCGGACAGTTGATGGAGGATGTTCCTAGTGTCAAAGTCAAATCTGCTTCGCTAGCGCCATCTGTACTTAGTATTTGGAGAAACTAACAGAACTCCCTCACGTTGTCGTCTCGTTGATCGGTGAGCCGTTTTTTTTGGGATCTAGTGTTTAAATTTAGCATCCCAGGTGTTTGAAACGTAGGGCCGTCCGTCATAGGCATTTGAAGTTATCATGAAATCGTAATTTTACATAGCAATAATTATTTTAACGATGGTTCTAGCTACCTAAGAATCAGATAAATAGAATTCATAAAACGTTTGTACAATTTTACTGCCCACATAATATCGCACCCTATTTAGGGCAACAAAGCATTTTAACAACAGCTTTTATCCGCTAAGTCCATCAATCTTCATCACTTACGTATGAAGATTAGCGCTGATAAGATGAAAGCGGGGAAAAATGACGAATGGGAATGTTTATGAGGACAGAATTCGGGTCAGGTAAACGACTTAATGACACGCAATATATCATCGTTGCGTCATGAATAATGGAAGATGACGTCGAAATTTGCTAAAGGCATCCAGCTGTGAAATCGCATTCATTCCGTACGCCATTCGGATTATTGGCTGAGGAAATTTTGAAAATTCAAGACGAGAACGGATTGTAGCGGGCGAGAGTTACGTTCTCTTCATATACTCTAATATATTGGAGATTTAACGATTTTTATATGAGTCATGTAGCTCAAAGAACAGCTGTTTAGCTGGTTATATCTCTTCTAGTTTATAATCAAAGTGAGAGGAAAATTCTGCACTTTCTTATGCTGTCCCTCTTTTATTTTAATTGTAGCCCAGCTGAAATAATATTAAAATTGCTTGACAGCTTTTATATTTAAATAAAACACTAACGGTTTAAAACGCGATATATTAGTTAAACTTATTTGAAAATGATTTTTACTTAGACCGTGACCACGGCTGCTGCAAAGCAACATCATTTACAAATTTATTTAAACTAATATATCGCGTTTTAAACTGTTAAAGTGGTTTATTTAAATGTGTACTACTCGCGTAAACTAGACAGTATTTAACTTTTATATTTTTTACATAATCCACATGATGGCATTATATATGTCGGAGTTACGTTGTCTTCTTGGTCACTTTTTGTCGGAATCAGCAGGATTCCGGGTGAGAAATAATAATAGTCAGTTCCTTGGCAGGTGACTTATGACGATCCAACGATAACTGAACCTCGACTCAACAAATGCGCTCCTTTTTATTATCGTTGCCCCCTCCCGTTGCCTAGACTCTGTACACGTCAAAGTGACGTTTGTGTTGTTGACGTCCCGTACGCATGACCCGGATGCGACACGGCCATCCTGAGCGAGCCACGTCCTCGTGGCTAGTCTGAAAGGAATTAAATTGCACGCAGTATCATTCTCGCTCGGCCATATCTGACTTAATCAGGATCGTTCTAACAAAACACAATACACCTAAAAAAATCAGAAACATTATTAATAACAACACAACCCATGTAAACATCAATTGTAACTGTAGGTCATCCCTGTGACCGCACAGACTCTTAAGTCAACCCTGTGACAGTTTTACCAATAGTCATCACGTTCAGTGGTCAATTAATACAGTCATCCCTGTGACTTACACACGCATTCAAACACACATCGTCATCCATAAAGCTACTATACCAGGATAACTGGACCGGTGACCGAACAAGCCATGGACAACCTCACAGCATCCGACAACACTAGGATAACTAGGTCAGTGTCCGAACAAGTCATGGACAACCTCACAGCATCCGACAACACTAGGATAACTAGGTCAGTGTCCGAACACGTCATGGACAACCTCCTTCAAGCATCCGACAACACATGGATAAATTGGTCAGTGTCCGAACAAGTCCTGGACAACCTCCTTCCAGTATACGACAACACATGGATAGCCGTGCCGGTGTCCGAACAAGCCTTGGACAACCATTCCGACATCCGACAGTATAATTTATCTCTAATTCACAACTTTAACGAGAGCTAGTTGATGACACAGCAAAGCGTTGGTCCAGGCATCCATTGTGGTACAAATATCCAGCGGTCGCATCGATATTGCACAGGTCGACCCGCTTCTCTGTACTGGAAGCACCGCCGCTACCGTTGCTTCCGCCCTTTGCTCTTCCGCTTCGGGCAGCTGGATGCGTAGTGTCCTTGCAGTGAAAAGCTGCTTAAATTTTCCCAAGTCGTCTCATCAGTAAGCACGTGCGTCCACATCAGATCGGTCTGGATCAAAATCAGGAAAGCAGAGTTCGTTCAGCGTTCGCGACTGCTTCACGACTTATTTATTTGCAGCACGTGGGGCGTTCGGGCTACATCCCGCTTCTGATGTCGGAGTTACGTTGTCTTCTTGGTCACTTTTTGTCGGAATCAGCAGGATTCCGGGTGAGAAATAATAATAGTCAGTTCCTTGGCAGGTGACTTATGACGATCCAACGATAACTGAACCTCGACTCAACAAATGCGCTCCTTTTTATTATCGTTGCCCCCTCCCGTTGCCTAGACTCTGTACACGTCAAAGTGACGTTTGTGTTGTTGACGTCCCGTACGCATGACCCGGATGCGACATATAAATTAAAAATCGAAATAAATTTTAGATTGAAAAAAAATACACAGGATGGGCTTGAACCGGCATCTATAGCGCTCCGTTCTGTTGCTCTGACACGATAGTTAATTGAACTATCGTGTCAGGACAAGTCCTGTCTGTATTGTTTTTTTTTTTAAATTTAAAACCGATTTTTAATTTATCCCCACTTAGTGGTAATCGTTAAAGCACACCGACTCATGTTAAAGCCGCATGGTGGCTTAATGTTATCTGCAAACCCTCTCTCTATAGAGAAGACCTGGGCTCAGAAGCAGGGCAGTAATAAGTTGAAACGCCTAAATAACAAAAAATAAAACATACTTTTTTACTATTATCTTTTTTATGAGGCGATAAAAATGCTATCATTTGGCTATCTATTAATCACTTCCTTTAAATGTTTCAGTGCCTCATCCAACGCCATATAGACCTCCTGATTATCTGGAGTGCTTAGATCCAAGGATTCTGATCGGCTTCTATCTGGTAACTTACGAAGGAAGCTTTGCGTGAGGGGACAGAATACGTCAGGATTGATAGAATCTGTCTTGGACTTTCCTGTGAGGTAACTCATGGGGATACCAATTAGAAGTACTGTAATAGCCCCAGCGAAGGGACAGTATGTAAAGGAGATCCGGAAGAGAGATTGTAGAGGCTTCGTGGGCATTTGGGTCCTGAAAAGAGCGTATTTCAGATTTAAATAGTAAGTTCCACGTGACTACGGCTGCTTAAAGAACTCGAAACGTCGGGTCATAGTTAGGGCTATTTAACTATTAACGGCAGGAATACCAATTTACTATCCAGATTTTCGGATGCAGTCGAATATGCTTCAGAAAAATTAAAAGTTGACTCCAGTGGCACTCGAACCCACGACCTCTTGGTAATAAGCAATTTTTTGCTACCAATACACTGACGAAGTGTCATGCCGTCAAAGTGTTTTATTTCAATTCTAATCTTATTATGAATCATAATACCAGTTAGGTAATAATTTCGGGATTCCCAATAAATAGCAAATCCTATTTAGTTTCTAGGTGGTTTACTTCAACTTGAAGCGGCAACTGTTTTTAAAAGCCACCGAAATACACAACGACTCTTAGAGTTTACTTGAACAATTTTACGACAAAACTTAAAAACAAAGTTTGTTTACGTTCAGCTGTGTCTCTGCTAGCATTTTGTATGCACAGTAGACATTAATCAAATTATAACTTTACGTTTCCACCGTCTACGTGGCTTAGTGGTTAAACGCGATGCCTGTCATTTTGTCAGGCATTAAGGTTCGAATCCTTGATATTGCGGTCGGGTATCACACAGTCATAAAAAAAGATTAAAGTAATTGACCGTCGCGCTAATAGTAGCGATGTATGGCTCATAGTCGAAGGATCGCGCGATCAATCCCCGGTGGGTCAAACAAGTTTCTCGTTAATTTATATATTTTTTTAAAACCTCGTTTAGGAATCGGATGTTAAACGGGTGATAGGAATATCGAATTTCTGTCTGAGTCACGAAACACTATCTTAGAAATTAAAAAACTCGTGAAGTTTAATCGCGTTTCGGTTTCCGAATATCCAAAACCAAAATAGGTCGCCATCGCATTGTTGAAATGTTATATAACTAGGGTTATTTCACATTCCATGTTGTCCTCCTTCATAAAACACTGGGTTTTCACATTAGCAAACTTTAAATTACACGAACCGTTCAAGAAAAAGTCATAAAACTGTTCGAATCGAGTAATAGTAATATGGAAGTTTTAATAAGTGGGAATAAAAGTGCGCCTTAAGCAGATATTACCCAAGTTACTAAGCTAAGATTAAAACTTTGGTCCGTTGATCGCTTTTTAAAGTTAAATCTAAGTTTTTCCTATGACTTCGGTCTAGTTTGAATTTGCGTGATATCGTTTTAATTCACAGCTTGACGGTAGTGTTCTTAAGCAATATATCTATACTAATATTATAAAGCTGAAGGATTTGTTTAAAGGCGCTAATATCAGGGAAAAATTTAAATATCTTGTATTGAACAGATCATTTATAGTGTGAATTGTATCCACTTTATAATAGAAATCTCAATACCAAAACAATGTTAGCCGGATCAGCTCGTTAAATATGTGTAAGAAAAACACACCAATATATCTAGTATTATTATATTAGCAATCTGCGGTCAGTATTGACAGCCCGGGGACAATTGAGTAGCGCCATTTAGTTTTCGTTGCTTACACAGAGTGTAATTAATAGTTTTTTTAAGAATTACAGTTTATAATAGTTGTATTTTGTTTGTGAATTGTGAATAAAATAAATATAAAATATGTCAAAATATATGTATATGCAAGCAAAGTTCAGATTGAAAAATTAACTAACTACTAATAGAAACGAAGAAACGGCGATAAATGTGGAAAAAGACGGAAAAACGCTGCACGCACAATAAAATGTTTAAAAAAAAGATTTCGCTTTAAATGGCTCTAACAATATCTGCAACACTATGTCTATCTTTAAGATTAACTTGCAGGAACGATGTGACGCAACCGACGTCGTGCGCCAGCGACAACGCGAACGACGTCGCTGACACAGCTAGTTACATATATTTATACTTCTATATGTATTATATTTGCTATAAACAGTCTACTAGTCTACTAACAGTAACCTATTTAGGAGAGCTGGATAATCGCTGTTTCTATTCCCACTTACACCGCTGCAATAAAGTAAAGAGAGCTATGCCAACTCGGATGGACCCGAAATAAAGTTTATTCTGCAACTTGGGAGCTAAGTGAATGCGGTTATGTCCTACGTGGAGCGAGGGGTGTGGACACTTCGACTTTGCGAAATAGAATATTAAATTTACTTTAAAGGCATCTGCTGCTTGAGCACTGCGAGTTACTTTTTAAATTAATATACGAAGAATTTCCGACGGAGGATATTCTGAACAAAGTTTTTGTATCTTGTTAGTTATGTACCTTGTATGTAAGTAGAACCTATAGTAACCTTAGTGATATAACGCCTTATATAGCGTTAAATTTATAATAATTTAGAATAACTATGAAACAATAGATTAAGCAGCCCAAAGACGATCAATATTATTGTGCAATATCCCGGGTTGTACAATAAAATTGATCGTGTGTAGACGACATTGTCAAAAGCACATAAATTTAAATCAAACACTTTTAACGGCTTAAAACACGAAATATTCGTATTGGTTTCTTTTCGAGCTGTGGTCGAGTTTTTTACCGTTAGAATGTTTTATTTTTATGTGTACTACAGACAGTCCTTAAGTTATATTTCATCCGTGAATCGGGGATAAAAATGTGTTGTCCCTATACCCCACATTAGCCTTCTTTAGTAAATGGCTTATCATTAACAAACTCTTTATTATATCAGTATAGATGTAGTAAATGTTATACGTTTATATATGAGTATACGAAGTTACTTAGTAGTTAACAATATTCGCATTTTATTTTTCACTACAAATCGCGATCATTCAGTCTGTTGGCTTAGAGACATCTTAATATTTCAAAGACTGTTCATTATTGTTAGTATTACGTTATTATTAGCTATTTCTAAAGACATGAATATTCAAGTCAATGTATGAAAAGAAAAACTCCCAAGGACATTAAGACGGACATCACATAAACATAATGCTACTTTATAAAAACACTAGCTGCGTAGTAGTGACTTCGTCCGCGTAGAATTTGGACAACGGAATGTGCTATGCAAATCTCCTCTTCATATGTATAATTTAAGCTGTTACCTATGGCGTCGGTCGCTTCTCGTTAAGATATATAGTGTTGCAGATTTTTTTTATCATTTAAAGAGGAGTCATTCTTTCATACATGTTTCTTGAGTAACTTGCACCGTTTTCGCAGTGTATCATCCTCAAAGATGAATAATTTTCCCCGTTTTCTCCACATTTCCTGGTGTTTTTCGCTCCTATTAGTCGTAGCGCGATGTTTTACAGACTATACCTTTCCCGATAAATGTTGTAACCAAAGAATTCGAAACAATAGTTCCAGAGATGACCGCGTTCAAACAAACAAACTTTTCAGCTTTATTTATGTAGGTTTTTAGCATAATTGAGCAATTAGCTTTAAAATGTAAATTCATGAATAATTTTCCACTATTTTTGCACACAATTGAATGTCCCATTACACATTATTTACACATGGACACCTAATTTATCGACACAATTAGTTTCGAGGTTTCATCAGTGAGTCGTAAATATTGTGGTTTTACTATAAAAAAGTAAATTATATGTTACATTATACCAATGTATTTTTATGATAGAGGGGGACACTTGATGGGAGGTGAAATACCAGCCATATAACATCGCAACAAGATGCGCTATCCACTTAATTTATTGTCAGTAAAAAGACTGTAGTCTTGCATCTTAGCCATCCAAAAGCCTAAAACGGCACCGACTTCACCATCGCTAGAGCTTATAACCGACGAAATACAATCTATCTATACAGCTTAAGAGATAAGCTTATCTATCGGTTTGATCTTCGAGTTACCGTTACACGGCCAACCTTCGTAACCAGGGGGTTATAATTATTGCAATAATCTGCTTCATTTTTTACAATAGAATTAATAAAATAGGTAGACAACAGATAGAGAAGCGCTCCTCAGTGTGACAAGCGCTTGCCACTACAACTGAGACTAGTACCAGTTGCAATGTCGTATCGACTTTAATATCAAATACAGTTGAATCCGTTTATTATGCCTATATTGACCAACCGTTTATTATGACGTCATTACGCTACGTAGTTTGGTTTTCATATAAAATTCTTATAAAAAAGTCGGATATAATGACTTCCTTTACAATGACATGTCGCTTATTATGGAATTTATTCAATATCAAGTATATATAGTTGTTTAATCTATGCCCTACCTGATTGACATTTTATTGGTTAATCGAAAATCGAACCTAGGACTTCTCGTGCTTGTTGTAAGCATTGTATGCTTGAAAACTCGTTTAACTGGATCTATGGGTTGGATCTTTAGGAGTTGGATAGATTTATTTAAAATGTGACTAAAAGCGAATTACATACGTAACACTCTGCGTTATGGTGGTCATGTTGATCAAAATATGTGTGAAGTTAGCCTTCCCACAGCCGGATGTAAGTAATTGTTTTCGCTGAAAGGTCAATGCCCCCGTAGCCAACGCGTTTTCAGCACCTATCAGCAGCCAACCGCACAGAAGCAAGCTCAAGAGGCAACCGCTGAGTGCGCCCTGAAAGGTAATTTCAGGTTTCAGTACACATTCGGTGACAGAATAACCGATAAAATGCGACAGGATGATAAATAATATAAATACATTAATATAACAATAATATTAATAAATCAATGATTCCTAGGTGACCCGGAAGACTTTCTTTACTGTAGAAATTGTTTTTTTAGACAATCTCTAGTTTGTAAGTAACCAGTTAGATGGATTCGGTCTGATCCTTACGCCTTACGCGGGATAACTTACCAAGTGATAATTGGTCAATGAAAAATAGGAGTTGGTGATAGAAGGGTGAAAATTAAAAGAAAATTGGGGTAGTATATAATTATAAAAGAATAATATTGAAAAATTTAAGGGGTATCCTTATATTCATTACTTAGGGTTATGAAAAAAAGACATTAACCAATTCTCAGACCTACTGAGCATGCATATAAAATTTTATAAAAATCGGTCGAGTCGTTTCGGAGCAGTTGGCGTGACACTAAAATTTAATTAAATAGATTTAACTACTACCGGCAATTAATAATGCTTACGCCTGTAGCTTATAACATATGAATATAAGCCCTTTCTTATAATATAATAAAACACAATAATAACACATTTTGTAAATTGTGTATATTAATAACAAGTTTAAATTAAAAATAAGTTTATCTCGTTACATTAACAGAATTATAGCCGATTTAAAACACATACATTTCGTTTTGCTAGGGTTTAATGAGCTCCATCTATTTTGTAAATACCAAACAATGTATAATGTTCTTGAGCGCCATCTATTTTGCCAATATGGAAACTATGTAATAATTTTGTGAAACAGAGTCACCTCTTGACGATAATGTACAATACAAAGTATATTCTGTAACTGCTTAAAACACAAGCAGATGAATTTGTTTGATTTAGTTCCACATATATTTAAGAGATGGCGCTTTCAGCAAACGCAAATGATTTCCAAATAAATTATAGTTTTCAATATACTCATATTAAGTATAAGTAGCTTAAGTTGTTGACTTACTGAACAATTAGCTCTAGAGGAAGTAATGCCCAGAGTGTAAAGACCCAATAATGTTCCTGCTGTGACGCCGGTTACACCTGTTGCAACGTGCTGAAGCCTATCCAGCTCTTTTGCCGACCAAACCACCCCAGCACAATAGCATCCCACCAAAATGCATAGAAGCTGAAAGTCATACAATCTGTTGCTATAAAATAAAGCATAGAGGAACATAACAATCTCTCAAAGCGGTTTTTTTTACGTAAACAAAATTCAACATCAAAAAAATACAATCACATCCGATCTAACTAATTATAAAGCTGAAGAGATTGTTTGTTTGAACGCGCTAATCTCAGAAACTACTGATTCGAAATAAAAAAAATAATTGTGTGTTGGTTAGAAATAATAATATAAATATGAAAGAATAATCTAAAATATGTCCGCAACACTATATGTCTATGTTTTAAGATAACTTGCAAGAACGACGGGACACCACCGACGTCGTGGGTAACATCTTAATTTATTGTGATGAAGAGGAGGTTTGAAAAACTAATATAACGTCACACAGCTACAATATTTATAGTATAAACAAAAGTAGTAAGTTTTACCTTCATGGTTCTACAACACGCCGATTCTCCTGTCTTATTAGGCATCCATGGTCTAATAAATTCTTCAAACACTACCCCGGACACCGAGTTTATTATTGAAGATATGCATCTATAAAAATATTTCACTATTATTGGAAGTGTGTGCAAAAGGGAAGCAGACACCTGATTTTATTATTATATTATTTACGTTAAAATTAGTTTTAGAGCATAGTTAAATTTGTATATAAATTGTTAAAATGATATATTGACTCCTTGAAGCAATATAATGTAGTACGGCATATGGCAATGACCACCGCTCGTGGATTCGAACTCGCCAGGTCCAACAGTTTTCTAAACAATTTTTCGTTATTCTGAAATATGTTGGAATTCTATCTGGAAAATGCGGATATTAATGAGTGGTAGCAATATCAAAATTTATTACAAAAGTGTATACAGCTAAATACGTATATGAAAAACAAAGGCGAAATTATACTTACCCTGTGCTCGCACTGAATATTGAAATAATAAATATGCCACAAATACCAGGAAACATCGTAGCCAAATTATTAAGAAAGTGCGGAACGAGCTGAAATAAATCGAATAGCGTAATAGAGGTAGTTTAGTTTTATTAGAAAAATAATAAAACTACCCCAATCACATTAGTCACAAAGCCTTAATGGTTAACTGAGATACCTGCCATTACGTTAAAAGAAAGACAATATTCTGTTTATTTTTCCGGGATCTTAAAAAATCACCCGAGTTACATAATGACTACAACATTTGGACAGTGTACAGAAGTCTAACTATTTTACTTCAAACAAAATGTATCAGTGAAATATTTGTGTCTTGTCTCATATAGGGTTGTCTGCCTCACAGTTTTCTTGTTGGAAATGGTTGAAATAAATCAAAAGATACTCACTTGTTCGTGCTTTTTTATTTGCCCCGTTAACAAGGGATCACAACCAGCGAACCAAGCATACAATGTCAAGCCAAGGAAACATGACAATAGCTTCATTAAAATAACTCCTACGCATGATATAGCCAAGCATATCCGTGCTTTAGATATTGTCGGGACAGCTAGAAGTTTCTGGAGCGAAGATTGACTTAGCGCTATCTTCCACAACCAGTTTGTACTGAGAGCTAATGTCACGACGAAAAACGAAGTGTGGTGTGAGAGTTCTGGATCGGGGCTGAAAAATACATTATTCAAGGTGCCGCCAGGCTAATCACATGTTTAAATAAAACACTTTAACGGTTTAAAACGCGATATATTAGTTAAACTTATTTGAAAATGATTTTTAACTTCGGCCCGACGTTTCGGATGCTTTGCAGCAGCCGTGGTCACGGGGCGAAACTAATATATCGCGTTTTAAACCGTTAAAGTGTTTTATTTAAATGTGTACTACTCGCGTAAACTATAGACAGTATTTAATCACATGTTGTAACCAAGTATGACCAGTGTACTGAGAATATTTGCAAAATTTTATCACAATCGGCCCAGTACCTAGCGTAGGCGCAGAAATGTTTTTTCGAATTAACGAAAAACAATAGTTAGTGATAACTGCAGTCACGTGTTGCCTAATAAATTGTGTAAGGCTTTCACGGCCATCGTTCAGCATATTATTGTCTTTCGGGCTGTTCAGCCGATGTGAGCGAGAAGAGGTTGTCGACGCTTCGTTAATTCTTCGAGCAATCGAGGAGTTAACATCTCCTGATGATGCCGTCCACGCGTGATGGCGAAACGTCGAGAACCTCTTCTCGCTCACATCGGCCGAACAGCCCGAAAGACAATGATATGACGAGTTGCCTGTTTAACAATTAAACGTAAGTTTTTTAAACCATAGAAAACTTCTTCATTTGTAGGTACTACTCTTGTAAACAGTACAGATAAGCTTTATATGCCTGCACTATAAAAATATATTTTAGATAGAAAAAAATAAACAAATGAGCTAGGTCATCTTCTTCTTTCTACAAATTACGCTGTTTTAAATGCACTTGTAAAAAAGTGTAGCCTTCCTATGAGTGAGTTCATCACGGCATTCTTTCGTACGCGAAAGACAATAAACGTATCACAACTATATAACTTATCTATGAAATATTATAATTGTATAACAAGTAATGTTATAGCAAATGTTTCCATAAGGTGAATGCACTAATGACAGTCAAGTACAAACGATACGAAATAACACTGTATTATCGCGTGCTAAATATTTATTTAAATTATTAGATGACTTTAAGTATTACATATTTTAAAGAGTCTTGTTTAATTAAAAATATTACTTACTAATTCCCTAGTCATTCTTTAAAGGTGAAAGAGCGTGAAAGAGCGTAATGTTTTTTTAATCTTACTTGTATAATGACTCGGAAAATATTTAGAACTTATAAGTAACTGACTTTAAAGTAACCTGATAGTTAACATATATAAAATATCTTGTAGAATTATTTTAATTAAAAAACGTATCTACTTACTCATATAAAACAAGTCTTTCACCACGATCTGCTATCTCCCACATCCTCTTAAAACCCATGGGTAGCAGAGCAAGGCTACTCGGTAGAGCGGTACCAGCTAGCGCCAGGAAAGTGGTGACGATTCCTATGCTGACTATGGCACGAAGACCTTCTACAGCAATTAGTGTGGAGCAAGCCACACATGTAACAGCAGTGATTCTGCTTGCGAGAGGATTTGTAACTAAAGGAAATGGGCTTCATAAATAATATAATGAGTTAAAAATTCTAATTACTAGTAAGTAGTGCTAGCTGGATTAATATGTGGTAATACAACTCTAACAAATAATGCATTAATTTAGATCTGATTGTATCTTATAGATCTTTAAATAATTTAAAGAGATATTATTCTTTCATACTTATCAGTTGGTTTTTTAAACCGTTCTTGCGCGCACGCAACGGAAACCCTCCAAAGATGAATAATCATTGCGTATTTCCATTCCCCGTTTTTTTTCACATTTTCGCCTGGTTCTTTACTGATTTTGGTCTCAGCGTGATGTAATATAGCCTAAAACAAAGCTAATTCGAACCAGTAGTTCCTGAGATTAGCGCGTTTAAACAAACTAACTCTTTAGCTACAGCATTAGTATAGATATAATATTTTGACAATTGACATTTGTAGTTTAGTTACGTAAACTACAGATACAAGATACACTTAACCATAGAAGAAGATTAAAAGTGATATATTACCCAATCTGAAAGCCATCAACGGCACATATGGCACAATTGGAAGGAGCATCAATTTACTAATAACGTATAATACTGCAGCTATTGTCCGCGTCTGCGACGAAAACCTTATTTCCAAGTATTCGAAACTAGACGACAGTTGAAGTTTGTGAAAAACTGAAAATTAAAACTCATTAACCTCATGTGAATTCAATTGTTAGTTTGTTATGGAGCGGGAAAGTCAACATAAGTATATAAATAAAACACTTTAACGGTTTAAAACACGATTCTTTAAACTTATTTAAAAATTATTTTATCTAAGGCCCGACGTTTCGGTTGCTTTGCAACAGCCAGCTTTGACCAGACGTCACAGAAAAACTAAATATGGAGGGTTTTTCTGATATCAAAGTAAAAACGCCATCTGTTTCGTTGTGGTTGGTTTTTGGGAAAGTAGCCAGGTCCTTGCAGAATTGTAAAACTGTTTTATTAAAATGTGTACTACTCGCGTAAACTACAAACAGTATTCAACTTAAGTAGCAATTTGGGATTCGTGTTATAAGAATATTGGTATTGAAATATAGTAAGTATAGCGATGTAGTGCCATATCCCTCAGTGGGCCATGGGGCGAATACAATTCTGTATGCATTTCATTTCTAATTTAACTACAAGGAGTTAATCAAACTTTACCTTGCCATAAGAACACAATTCATTTCCTCGGGATTCAAACCCAGGTTCTCTCATGCTTAAGCATTGAGCTACCGACTTGGTATGTATATATAAAATTAATATAACCAAATTCCTTAAGGACAAGATATTACAGTACATTGAACTAGCAATGAATGTATGAATTATTGTACCTTTGTCTATGTTTACCTGGCAAATAAATGACAGCTGTAAGAAGAGTGACGATGATAAGAGATAAAGCGGACGCCCAGTACTGTGTACCTCGTAAATATATCTCTACCGGTACACCGAGTAATGTTATACTCGTTAAGTGGCTAAAAATAATTATTAATGCATTATTAATCTTTCTCATTATCAAATATCCACGACGTCGGTCGCCGCCGTTCTTGCAAGTTATTCTTAAAAGATAGATATAGCGTCTCAGAGCTAATTTATATTATTTACTATAAAGAGGAATCATTCTTTCACACATATTCTTCTGGTATCTTGAACCGCTTCTGCAGAGCACGCATCGGAAACCAACAATTATATATAATTTTTCCATTGTTTTCACATTTCCCGCTGTTTCATCGCTCCGTTTAATCAAATGCCATGTTTTATAGCAATTCAATTCGAACCAGTAGTTCCTGAGATAAGCGCGTTCAAACAAACAAACTCTTTAGCTTTATGTATTAATATAGATCTGTGGTACAAGTATAAAAAAAAACTTGGATGAATAGTTCGCGATCATTAAAAAAAAATATGATCTTGCTTCCTCTAATATTCTATGATTTTTTTTATAAATGATTAAATACTTTTCGAAGTAAGTTTGTTAGTACGTACCTTGCAATCAACGCCAAAGAAATTGAAACAGTCGACATATTTTTCCCACCAAAAAGAAAACCAGACACCGTATCGTACTTTCTATTCAAAAACATGAAATAGAAAATAATCCCTATGAACACACATAATGTTATACCGAACAGGCAATATTCAGCTACGTTAAAATAGATAGGAGACGCGGGAATTGAATTGTTTCTCATTATTTATTACAGAGAGCGATAGTACTTTCTTCAGCAATTATCTACTTGTAAATAGCCAGATATCAAGTCAAGCCTAACAATACGGGCAGATAATTGTAGAGATAAAAGTGGATCTTTTCAATCTTTCCGCAAACAAACACAACTGGATTTGTCTCGTGCAGACTAACCACACATGTATTTTGTTTAAATACCGTTTTTTTCGTTCTTTGAGATTTAAACTAGCTATCTGCCTAAATGCTTATTAAATAAACTTCGTTGACTTACTGTTTTAAAATTAGTTATAAGACAAGATTAGTGTTAAAAAATATCAAATTGTTTGGCCCATGTATATATACCAAGTAAACCATATTACCTACTAGATATAGTAATGACATAAATAAAGTAATATATATTATAGTTATTTTTCTAATAAAAGCTATAAAAACCTTAACTTCTTATGATGGATGTTTTTCAACGCCATCTACATTTATATTCTATTTACATACATTTTTAAAGCACCATCTATTGATATTATATAGAAACATCTCTAGTTAGATACATAACGTTTGACACATCACAAGTAAAAAAATACATATAATAAATAAGAGATGCCTCTGTTATTAATTTATAATAATAAAAATAAAACGCGAATGTACTAAGCCACTATCCTTTTATACACTAGAATAAAAATATACTTAGTTATGATTATTAGTTAAGGATCTTTATAAATGTTATTTTAGTTTAGTATAGACTACCGTATTTTATTTATTAACACTACGGATCAATAACGCTAATACTTACTATTCGAACTAAAATACAAATAAGTAATGCTCACTCGGGTTTCAAAGTACAGTAATATTTTAAAAGAAAAATTGTCTCTCCTTCGAGAGTGAGGTGCGTATATCGTATTTTCAAATGGAAGATATTTTACTTAGGGGGAACGAGTTATATTACTATGGATGGCTCGCTCTTACCGACATTAGAATATTATGCCCACACCTGGCCTCAAAGACATTCGTATAAATTATTTCTCCGTTTGTTTTTCCCGTACATTTTCACACTAGATGTCAGGAAGATGATACTTTAGCTTGTAATTATGTATATTCGTATAAATTAGGTACATAAATGGAATTTAGACCGGTTCGTGTACATTGTGATTTTAATTACTTTTTTGGTAAAAACCTATGTCCGGCAGTGGACTGAACAGCTGATATGGCGAAAGTAAATAAAATAATTCTTATTTCCACGACGAAAGGCATAAGTAACGAAGGTTTTAAAAAAATTTTATAGATTTAAACGCGACATTATTGACAACATATAAAAAATATCTTTTTATATTCGCGTTTTAGGCCTTTTAACGTTTAATTATATCTGTATTTCGCTATTTACAGACTATATTAATTAATTTATCAGTATATATATAAGAACTATTTTTGTTTGTTTATTTGAACGCCCTTATCTCAGGAATTACTAGCTCGAATTGCAAAATTGTTTTTGTGTTCGTTGGACAATTTATCATTACCACAATTTATCACAGTCTGCGACCAATAACAGCAAAGAAACAGAAGAAAGTGTCGAAAAAACGGGGGAAATGAGTCAATAAACTAATTATTTACAAAAAACAATTATTCGTACGTACCTACAACAATGCTCGCGGTTGTGTAATATCTTTTAAGATACTCGCAAGAACGACGGGACGCGCACGAAGCCGGGTGTAACAGCTAGTGTATTTACGTACAGTCAATGTAGGTAGGTACATATAATATATGCCTAATACATTTTTCTCCGAGAATGTTTAAATAGAAGAGGGTTTTCAGGTCGCGCATCGCCGGAGGTGAGAGAAAATTATAAGAGAAAGGGATTTTCACTTCTACTCTCACAGTGGTTAGAAACTATTTTCATTATTTTTAATTAAATACTGTCTATAGTTTACGCGAGTACACATTTAAATAAAACACTTTAACGGTTTAAAACACAATATATTAGTTAAACTTATTTGGAAATGATTTTAAACTTCGGCCCGACGTTTCGGATGCTTTGCAGCAGCCGTGGTCACGGGGAGACCCGTCTTAAAAATCATTTCCAAATAGGTTTAACTAATATATCGCGTTTTAAACCGTTACAGTGTTTTATTTAAATGACTTTATTAATTCGAAATTTTGATAAGTGTATTCTGTAACCTATAATTTGTCTTCTTTAGTTATAAAAAATAATATTAGTAATGTTTGAATATTTACAATAACAATGTAATAAAATATGGTAAGAAAAGGTTTTCAACCTCTGATCTAGGGGACAAGAGGCGTTTTTCATAAGTTCGCATGATTGCACGCTTTGACCGAAAAGGGGACGAAACGTTACTAATAAGATCGTTTTTAAACGTTTTGTCTTATATAGGAGAAATTATGTTTCTCATTTTGACGAACTCGTTGGTCGTTGGTTTGACCGGGTCCAACATTTAATCAATCTATAATTTTTCTGTATGATGTTTTTACTTGGTCTGGAAAACTGGATATTAAATGGATGGTAGGAATGTCGAAGTCCCGTGCGTATATTCCGGACCACAGTCCACCCATGAAAAGACCGTAAAATATTTTAATCGCCTTTCAGTTTCAGCCTGTGATTTTCCGAAGATCACTGACAGCGTTATTTAGATTGTTTAAGCATTTCACCTACCTTTAAATAAAACACTTTAACGGTTTCAAACGCGATATATATATTAGTTTAATCTCTTTGAAAATTATTTTAACTATGGCCCCTCGTTCTCGTTCGTTCTACGCCCTTGATTTGAGAACTGGTAGTAAATGTAAAGTTAGATTCTTTAATTATTTTGTGACGTTCATAAGTGTACATAGTTACCTACATGAATAAATGATTTTTTACTTTGACTTTGACTTTTTGAATGCTTTGCAGTAGCCGTGGTCACGCGAAGTATCCGAAACCTCGGGCCATAGTTAAGACAATTTTTAACCGTTTCAGAGTGGTTTATTTAAATTTCACCTACCATCGAGTGAATGACGTTTTTGTTCGTCCTCTTAATAAAAAAAAACAGAAAGTTTTAAAGAATTATAAAACATAAATAATATAATATGAAAAAGTACCCTAGTTATAAATATAAGCATATGAAAAGAATTAAACATTCAAGAAACATTTCAACTTAAACAATTGGATATAGTGAGTGCTTGTGTAAGTAGATCGTACAGAAAACGACAATTTAATCAAACGTTATGGGTTCGAGGTTAAAATAATCTTCAGAACAGTTAAACTATTTACAGAGGTGGAGTTTAAAATTTAGGGGCCCCAGTGTAACATAAGCGCTGAAGAAGATGACCTAGTAAATTGTATAACAATATTTAGATTTTTTTTAAACGATTTATATAAACAGAATTTACAAATGTGTCTTAGTTCTCATTACTTAAAAATAGCGAAATTTAAGTTAATTTAGGTAACGTTTTTATCTTAAGTATTACCAGAATAATAATTAGTTTAAAGTCTATACCTTAGAGCTTAATTCACGGCCGTAATCTGAATTACAAGAGTTGCCCGTCAAAGTGATGAGTTAGTGAAAATCAACTGTTGTTAAGTATTGTCTATAGTTTACGCGAATAGTATAGAATTAAAACATTTAACAATTTTATTACGGACACGTTTGAAAGATGGGTTTGCAGTTAAAAGTTGATTATATAATTTGCGTTATATTGCTTAACCAAATGCTACTTGACTGGGAAGCAGATGTATAATCCGATGGTGGTATAAATAAAGAGTATGATTATGTGTGTGTACGTCTTTACTATCAATCTTAGACTTTATTATATAAATTCATCTTAACTTAACTTTTCTTATACTATACCCGGGCCAGTCTGAAAATCCAGCAGCACCTTTGTGATGGTACCAATTGCCATTTCTTATCTATTTATTATTAACGAAATTTAGTACTTATAAGTTTAATGTAACGTGTGTTAAGGGAAATAAAAAGTTTTGCATTTGATTACTTATAGCCTCAATCGAAAAATGTGATCTACATTTTATCTTCTATGCACTATTTTATTATAATTCGTTTTGGGGCCCTAATCTGACCTCACGACACTGAACCGCAACTGTTTGCCCCAAGCATATTATGATAACCGTGATAGAAAGATGTGGAGAAAATGAATTGCTTACCCGAGGCTACGTTTTTAGCGTACACGAATCTTCGTGGGGTTGGGTGGTGTCGCTAACGATTTCATTGGCGATGTACGAAATTGGCTGGTGGGATTAGTTCTATTTGTAGACAACAAGTATTTTTCTACTTATTCATAAGTTTTTTTTCTATATTTAGGTGGCTTTAAACTTACTCGCCCATAGGATTTAAAATGTACAAATTAAATACTGTACATATATAGTTTACGCGAGTAGTACACATTTAAATAAAACACTTTAACTGTTTAAAACGCGATATATTAGTTAAACTTATTTGGAAATGATTTTTAACTAATTATTAATATTAATAATAATAATAAATAAATATGTTATAACTATCTACGTATTAGAATATACTAATAATAATAATACTAGTATATCACCAAACACTAAAAACTAATTTACATATTTAATTGATAACTCTCTATATCTCTTAGGACTTCATGTGATTTGTGAATTTGCTTGTTGTATCTGTTATATCTCCGGAACACAACCTCTTTCGTGACATTTTCTTTAATTATTAAAAATATACCCTCACTATTGTTTTGTACCATATTCATAATTGTAAATGTGCGAAATCCCGTTTACCCGCGTAATTTGCGAGTGTTTCCAAAAAAACAAATTTCAAACGCGGAGTTATTTTCAGCGTTTAATTTATCTGTTTGAAGTGTAAAATGCCTGTA